ACCTTTGTGGAAATGCTTTGGTTTGGGAGGGGAGCAGTTTCTATCTCACGTACTGTTGTCCTAACCCTTGAGCCAGCCCCGCATGCTCAGAGCTGGCCCCCCAGAGCCCCCTCGGAGGGGAGACAGCTCGAAAGCCATTAACCTCATTTGAACTGAGTTCCTTTCCAGTATGATTCCCTGTTACTGCTCTTGGTAGTAAATAAAAATGCTTTCATTTCTTTTTGTGCTCACAGGGAAAATAAGTAACAAATTCAGAACTCCTTTTGGCACGCATTAAAATTATTTTGCGATTCAGCCTTTCCCTCTTTGCTGTTTTGCTGTTCCCTCTATGAGCCACCTGGAAGCCTTCCTGGGAGTAGGGAAAATACACATCCGATATTTCTTAGCATCTCCCTCCACTCCAGCACAGCCCAGTGAGACTTGGTAATGCTTACACTAACACTTCCCTTCAGCTCTTGGGCCTTGTCATTGAATCTCCTGGTGATAAAATGGTCTTCTGAATTCTTCTAGTTATTTCTACCTACCCAGCCAGGATGTCTTTTAAAAAACACACGTATCAAAAAAGCATAGGTATTTATTTTAATTTACATAAAGGCCCAGGTCAACATGTCTACCTGGGTGGGATGTGATTTGCTGCCTAGTTTGGCCATTCCAGCAGCTCTGATTCACAGAAAAATCTGAATTCTAGATTTATGCAGGTCATGTCACAGTGGCTGAGGGGTTTGGGCTGAAATAGTAGTTTACCTGGGTCCTATGCTCTGGCAGATGTTTTTGGGCCGGGGAGTCTCTGACTTTTCTCATTGTGCTGATGTGGATGTGGTTCTGGAACACATGTCCAAAGTCATGACATCTTAGTAAAAGGTTTCCTTCTTTGCCCCCAGAACTAGATTTTCATTTGTCAACTACTCTCATCTGGTTTTACGGGATTAGCCAAAATTTAGTTGTGTAGAGCATTAAGACTCAGTGCCCTGTTTTGTCTCACCCAGGGGCAAATAAGTAGTTTATTGGTGATGAGTCAGGAATGTTTTCCTGCTCCTTTTTTTTTTTTTTTTGGTGGCGGGGGCGGTCACAGGATCTTAATTCCCCAACCAGGGATCAAACCTGGTCCCTGGCAGTGGAAGCTTGGAGTCCTAACCACTGGACTGCCAGGAAATTCCCTCCTCTATCCTTTTCTTAACTGTTTCATATGCAGAATTCCATATAGCAAAGTAGAAGAATTATTGAACATCTAAGTACCCACCTCCTAGACACAACAGTTTTTACATATACACTTTCTAATTTTGTGCTGAAATTCACTTGTGTCACTTCAGTGTCAGATAGGATTCATCATTTTGGTTTGTTTCATTACAGATTATTGTAATCAGTGTCAGTAAAAGTTTGATAGTCACTCAGCAACTGTTTGCTAATAACTGAGCATGTTGTGAGGCCATGGGAAGAATATAAAAACAGAGCTGGATACTGAAAGGCACACATGAAACTATAATCCGTGTCTGCCCTCATGGGGTTTACAGTGTCCATGGAGCTCAGACAGCTTCACAGGAACATATGACAAAGAGTGTAAGTTAGTTTAGAGACAGAAAAGATTATTCCTGCCAAAGGGGACCAAGAAGGAATTCTGCACAAGAGCTAGATGTTGAACTGGTGCTCCCAGAACATGTGGTTTAGGTGAGCCAACACAGGCTGAGATGCCCACCTGGCCGAAGGGAGCAGGTGACACGGCTGCCGCCTCAGGCCGGGCACAGGCTCCATGCCCCTGAGTGCCCCGTGTCCTCAGCCCCCACTTCCACACAGACCCCGTCTCTCTTGGGGCCAGCCCTGCTCTGGTAGCGTGAGTAATGCGCAGCCCCTCTGTCAGTGTCAGATTAATGCACATTGCCTCGATGAGAATGAATTTGAAAACATTGCATTATGTGTTGGCTTTCTCTAGTCTCCTTTGTGACACAGTTTTATTTTACAAATAGCATTCTGGACCTTATGGAAGAAACACAGGGAGAGACCACTTTGCTGGACCCTAACCTGCCACCTCAGGGCAGGGTCCTAAAATTGTCCTGCAGTGGAATAGGGTTGCTATCCTTGTATTAGTTTGCTTACAGTTGGAAAAAATTGGGGGAATCTGGAAGAACTTTGTTCTGAGTTTCATCATCCTGAAGCTTCTGTGTTTGTGCCCCCAACGCTCTCAGAACACACGATGCAGTATTTCACCAGGATTTTCTACTGTCAGAAATTGCATTATTAGCACGTATTTAATTAGGTGAAACCAAATGTCATATCTCAAACATGGAGGAACTAATGCTCTGCAAGGTGAGCCACATTTTCCTGTAGTTTCCTCTCGTGTAGCTCTTCATTTTCCTCTGAAAGGTCAGGACGCCTCTCTTCTTCTTTTTTTTTTTTTTTTTTTTTTTTGCGGT